GGGACACGCAGCCCAGAAAGACAGAAACCCGAATCGTCATGGGCCAAAAATAATAACAGCGATAGCAAGGAGAACAGAGGAGTATCACTAACCGGCAGGCACAGGAATAAGCAGGAACCAAGGATAGCATAGAGAAGGAACATGTACTGCAAAGCAAAGGATGGCAGGAGGGATGAAATGACAAAAGGATGGAGGAAGGGAGAGGCAAGGACGACAGGTGATGCCCGAAAACAGGGCCAGACGGGAGCGGAAAAGAAGAACAGAGGCACCGTGATAAAATGAAGAGCAGGAGAGCAGAAGAGTAGGGATGAATGGCAGTAAAGATTAAAGGAGGTGGTAGAAAAGAGAAAAAGAGTGAGAGAGAGGGAGAGTGTGTCTACGAAGGCCAACGGCGAGGGGGAGGGAGGGGTACTCACAGCTGAAGATGCCGGGCGGGGGGTGCTGGGTGACCACCGGGCAGTTCTCCTCGTCGCTGTTGTCCCCACAATTATTCAGCTGGTTGCAGATTAAGGAGCCAAGGCGTAAGCAGTTGCCATTGCTGCACTGGAATTTGCACTCTGGGGAAAGAGACCAAGGCCTCCATGACAACCAAACTCGCACCTCACCACCCCAGCAAACCCAAGCCACTCTGACCCAAGCTCTTATCCTCACTGAATTCCTTTACATCACAGTCCTGCCCCCACCCCGACCCCCGCCTCACCCTCTTTTCTGTTTTGATCTGCTTGTATCAGCCGAGAGATTCGCTTTGTGTCCTGAACGTTCAGGCTGACGGACGCCATGGGCCGGCGGGTAGAGCGCTCCGTAAGAGGATGATGCTTAGACTCAATCTAATAAACAAAAAGTTAGCTACTTGACTACCTGTAAGATATCCAAGTTGTTCTGGATGGAACTCATGGCTAGATGGTGGAATGATTTCTATGGGTGCAACCGGGCAGCCATTGCATCAATCAGCCACTGCGAACTGATGCCGTACCACTGAGACCGAGCGAAGGACAATGACAAACAAACATATTCCCCGTGCGCCCCACCCACAGCGGGGGGTGGCAGACTCCTGTTCGCTCCACATCATCACGCAAATCAGCGACCAGCAGACAAAATATAAACGTTCAATGTGTGTTCAGGAAAAAAAAAAAAGAGAGAGAAAGAAAAACTCCAGCCTCACCTGTGAGGGATTTTCAACATTTTCTTGTCTGACTTTGTTACCAAGGCTTAAATGTACAAAACTAAGACCTTCTAAGACTTTTCAGGTGCATACAAAGAAAAACAAAAGAAGGGAGAAAAATAACAGGGTTGACAGACTGGAGCAGAACTTGAAGGAAGGAAAAAAAAAAAAAAAAAACCAACAACGACTAAGATGGAGTCTGCGGTGCCGCACGCTAACGTTTCAGTTAATTGCTTATTTAAAGTCATTAATTGGATAGGAAGCTACCCCACCTGGCACTGCAGGAGTGAATAAATGAGCAGATTAAAAAGGTAAGTGGGAGAGTCAGTGAGCTGCCCACCCGCGGCTTCCAGCGGAGCCGCAGCATGGGCACCAGGTGCCGGCTGCCCCGGCGCCCCTCCCAGGCACAGAGGAAGCCGGGGGCACGGTGTGAGGTGGGGCAGGGCGGGAAGCAGCCCTACAGAGACACCGTCAGAGCCCTGACACACGGTGCCACTGCGGCGGTGCCACTGCGGTGTCCTCGGGCCGTGATTTTTATTTTTTTTTTTGTATGAAAATATTCCCGAGAGTGTTTCTGGGTGCACATGGTGAGCATCGGTGAGGCCTCACAGGCAGAGAGCACCTATCCGGTGTTTTCCGTGCCGTGTGGCCAGGCTGGGAAAAACAGCAGAGGTTCAAATTCAAAATGTATTTCCTTCAGGAGGCAATTTCCGCTGACCTGCTAAAATCAGGCCGATACTAATAAAAAAAAAAGGAAAAGATCCTAATGACAAAGCAGATTTTCTAACCCCCCCCCCCCCCCCCCCCCAAACCCCCTCCCCGTGGCTCCCTGTTGAACAGGAACAGCTTGTGCTTCACTCGTCTAGACAGGCTAGGGGGAGGGAAAAAAAAATAGAGATCCGCGTAAAAGGAGAAAACAGCACGTTTAAAGCTTTCACTTCCTCACTCCTGGGCAGCAATTAGCATGCACTCTCACACCACTGCACAGCCCGTGCACTCTCACACCACTGCACCGCCCGTGCACTCTCACACCACTGCACCGCCCGTGCACTCTCACACCACTGCACCGCCCGTGCACTCTCACACCACTGCACCGCCCGTCTCACAGACAGCGCCACCCGGAGGAAAAAAAACAAGTAAAAATAAAAAACAGGCCCAGTTTTCAAGATTAGATGGGAGTAAACTAAATGAGAAATGGGGGCTTGACTTTTAATGAGAGAAAGAGGCATGCATCTCCCGCAGACAGTCACAGCACGACCCTTCTGGCTTTCAGACAAATGATAATTAAGACATTCCAGTGTTTACAGCCTACGGGGCACCTACAGCGTGCCGTAATGCGGCAACACGTAAAACACTGCGAGCGGCGTCTGGCATCTCCGAGGGTGACGGCTGGAATTCATGTGCCATGTTATTGGCCCCGTGTGCTCCGACCCTTTTGGCTGACATGGCAACACCGAGACCCATCTTAACTGCAGGCACAATTAAAAACAAAATAAGCCACACCCAACCCGGCATTCCTCACAAACTACAGCCGCGATGAGAAATGAGGCAGAAATCACCTGTGAACAGGAGGGTGAAGTGGCCTTGGAGACAACCTACATACCAGAAGTGACAGCCCTCACCCCCAAGAGGGTGTGACCTCCACATCACCTGTCCCGCGCAAGCTCCCCCACCCCCACTGGCCTGATCTCAGCGAGTTCCCCCATGTCTCCGCTGCACCAAGTGCCAGTAATGAATGTGCTGCAGATGCACGGACGATGCATGAGGGATCGGGGACATCCTTCCTCTGCTTGCCGCCCCCCCCACCCTCCCCCTCCCGGCCCTTGGCTCAGCCGGGATAATTAAGCATGTCTGGGATGTGCTGAGGTGGCAGATTTGACGCACTGAGTGGGAGGGAGGGGAGCGGAGCGAGGGAAGCAAGGAGAGACGGCAGGCGAAAGAGGGGTAGGGGAAGAGACAGCAAAGAGGATCTTCAAACCGCATCCCCTGCACTGCTGTCCTGCAACAGAGCGTGAATGAGGGGCTCAGTAACCGGGCAACTGTCTGTCAGATGGGTAGTGAGTGGCGGGTCAATGGAAGTCAAAGCCTTTTAACTCTCCTCATACCAAAGGAAACGCAGAGGAGCAAAATCCATTTCACAGAAATATCAGCAAAGGGTGCTGTACTGGTGACTACATTTCAGGTTCAAATTCCTACTGGACGATGACTGAATTTCCAGAAACCTCATCAGAAAACACTTCTTAATATTTATCATTATCATCATCATCGTGATTGTGTTACTAGAAGCTTTTCAATCATATATTGTCGGTTTATACAGCTGGATGTTTAACCGCAGAAATCCTGGGTTTAGAACCAGTAAAGTACCTAAGAACTATCAAAAGCTATGATTAAACAAATGGTGTTTCCTGCAGACCCAATTAATAATTAACAAATGCTTTCCATTGTTTATCAAGAAGACAACTTGAAGACAACTGTGATAGTAGAGTCCAATGCTTAACTCGACCAGCAGGTCAGAAACCGAGAACAACCTGAGATGCTGATGTAGGACCACACTATACTGCAGGCTAACGGACACAGCGCAACAAAGGCAGTGAGAGAAAAAAAACCTCTTCATGATCTTAATTTGGATCCATAGGATCTGCCTCTAGGACACCGGTAGGCTGTTTCGGGCAAGTAATCTCAGCAAGAGAGTGTTTCCGGGACGTGTCCCGCCTGGCACATTGTGGAACGACAGGGCCTCTCGCTACAGGGTCTCTGCAGGCCGTACTGGTTCTCTGGCAGCGCTCCCAGGTACTTCACGGCCTGGGCCGCCACAGCGGACGAAAGGTCACCGACAGGTTTGACTGAGGTGCACACGGGAGCGCTCTGGTTTCAGTTGGCGACCAACTCCATACACACCCTTCAATGAGCACTGCTAGGATTAAGCACTCACGATGACCTATGTAACACTCCCTGTCTCCTCTCTGCTTACACTACAGACTCTCTCATTTTCCCCAATTCCTGAATGACCTGAAGGGTCGTTCAACACCAAGCAATTAACAAGCAGACGGACAAAAACCCAAAAACGCAGGCAGACAAACAGAAAAACAGATGAAGACACTGGCAAAAACAGACACACATGGGCAAACAAAAACGTTCAAAGAAAAGCATAGGAAAGCGGGAGAACATTATAGGAAAGAAAAACAAACCGGGTAAGGTTAACTTTAGGTTAACGCAAAATAAATGTACCCATGGAAGCCGACAACTAAACACCACCCTTCAAAAGGTAGAGAGCTCATCGGGGCTTTTACTAGGACGCCAAAGTGTGTTTATATATGACTGAATAACAAGGTCACTCGAGCGGAGCACGTAAAAAATATCTCCATTGAAATGTTCTGAAGGGAAATAACTTGATCCATATAAATGAGGCATTAGCGTGGTATTTAAAGACGAACAGAAGTAGTATGCCAATATGCACTTCTTTCATATATATTTAGCATTCGGGTTAAATAAATTAGAGCTTTTTTTTTTACAGTGCTGTAGTCAGTAGCGAGGAAAAATTACGTTACGTAAACCTTTTCGCAGCACATTGTGTTAGTGGCTTGTCGTTGCTCCGTAAGATCGAAAACTGAAACTCCACGCGGAATTCTGCGCGCGAGAATCAGCTCGCGTAATCCGCGCGCTTCCCGGCGCTAGCCGGCTGTCGCAATCACAGTCTGCCGGCTAATGTAGGTCACGCTAAACTTGCGCTATCACGGTCGGGAGGCCGGGTTTTAAAAGTGCAGGAGGCGAGTAAACAAAACCAAAGCGCAGCCGGGTTCGTAACGGGGGCGGGTCAGGAGGGAACCAAGCCGTGACTCAGCCGCCTGGTCTGCAGGGACACCGCGGTGACACGACGCCCGATCTCCGCACCCTCGGCAAGGCACGGTTAATGATGCTCGTCTCAGAGCCGGCTCTTGTTATCCCTTTCAGCCTAAGGAGCGGCTCTCAGTTAAAAAAAAATAAAAAATTGCTCAGAAGCGGCCAGCGTGGCTCCGGATACTGCCAGGCCTCAGCCTCCCTTTAGTGTGAGTATTTCTTAACTCTCTGTGGGCAGCTCTAGGGGAGAGAGGAAGGGTGGGGGGGAGTAACGTGCAGGTTGCATCGAAAGGGATTATTTTTTTCCCCTTTTTTGTAATTAAAATGCATCTGCTTTGTGAAGATAGGTACAATTCTCTGGTGCAGCCCCACTGCCAGACATTACTAATAAATGGTTTTAGCCTCCTTGAGAGAGAGAGAGAGACAGACAGAGAGAGAGAGAGAGAGAGAGAGAGAGAGAGAGCGCCTTCCCCTTGTCTGACGATACAGTACTCCCGTTTTGTATTCAGACCTTCCTTCCTCTACCGTCTGCTGCTTACATTCCATTCCAGGTGGGGGGGCAACACAAAGCAGGAAAAAAGACTTTGCCCAGAGAGGGGACAGAGCAGAGTAGACAGGGGAGAGAGAGACATAATAATAAATAATCATGAAACTGGGTGATTTCGGGGAAGAACGGGGGCCAGTCACGGATGTTTGTCTGACCATCCACTTCTTTATATATTACAAAAGTAGCTTCTTCTAAGACTCAGTAACCTACCAGGAATTAAAATCACAAATCAGTCATTGTAAAAAATGGAGTTTAACTGGCTCATTTGTCCTCTGTCTGGCTATCAGACACCTGCAAACCAAAGGCAACACACATGACACAGCGGAGTACTGTGCTGGACACAGCTGAAGTACCATAAGGTTTCCTTCCTTCCCTCTCTGTTCCCCTTTCATCATTCTACTCACTGGTGCAGCATGGCTGAAGATATTTCCCTGATTGAGCTCATCACTGCATCACAGGTGGAAAAGTGGCCTGAACCAGCTCTTCAGCTGGCGTCCGGTACCTGGGAGGAAACATCAACTCATCCCTGCTGCTTTCCAATGCCACTTCAGGACAAAGGGGGGAAAGGACACACTCCGATAGAATGGAGGCCGCAGAAGAAGCCATTTCAAATTAAAGTATGTAAGGATACAAGCCAAATACTGACACCTCAATCTCTACAGGCAAAGGTACTGGATGGAACGGTTCCTGCATACAATGAAACAGAGCGATATAACAGACACTGGGGGCAGGCCGGCCAATTCAGAGGAGCGGCATCGCTCACTCAACACGAACTGCGCAGTAAACAAACACTCTCTAACCTTGATGGTATCGATTTCTTCCCCCTGTTTGCCTACCCATCCTGAACGTGCAGGAGTCATGCCCCTTCCTCTGCCATTCCAGTGATCAGTCAGAACACCTGGTTTCACATCTTTGAAGAGGGGCATCATGGGAAAAAATGTATGGAAAGATGTGAAGTAATGTGTAAGATGTCCAATTTTAAATCAGCAGCTCAAAAAGTATTTCTTCAAGACTTTCCCTGTTAAAAAGTATACTGTTAATATGCAAGGGCATTATCTTGTTTGTGGTAAGATATGAAGTCCATAAAATTGTTTTTTAACATTTTTATGGAGCCAAAACATGCACCCATGTATCACATTGTCAAAATTATTTTCCGGCAAAAATAATTACCAGCTAATGTATTATGCAATGCATTTTTAACCAGTAAACAAACTCTGGGGGTAGGAGCACTCAGAGTTGTGAAGGGGAGCCCATTTACAGCGTTACAAATCTATTAGGAAAAAAAATTAAATTTAAAGCTGGCCTTAATTTCATCAGATTTTGACACTGTTCCATTTCTGAGTTGCCGCTGAAGATTGCAGGAGTCGAAGTATCCTATGAGGGAAACTGTGGGGAATGCCAAACAATTTCGGGGCGTACCGTTGCCCAAACAGCTTCCACTGCATCGCACGCAAACACCAGTCTGCCACCTGAAGGCACCCAGGACGACTAACGGTAAGGCTGTAGGAGCTTGCAAAATATATACAATGTTAAAAAGGGAATCTGGGTTTAGGCCTGGGATTGATGCTTATTTACAGCAGTAAAGTGATAACCACTGACATCTCCTGGGGTTTACCTGTGAAAGCATTTGTGGCTGGAAAGTCAGCTTCCTGCATACTGCTGCCCCAGCAAAGCCAGTGATGCCAACGTTAACCAGTCCGAGTGGGTGTGGGCTGCTGGGAGAATCGCGGCCGTCGCCTGCCGTCCATCTCAGCCCCTCAGGACCCCATGGCGCTGTCCTTGGGGGTCCCAGCCAGAAGGGGTGAGCTCGCTGTTTGTCAACACTGGGACAGGCTCTCAGGGAAGGGGGGGCAGGGGAGGGAGGGAGGGAGCAGGGGGCGTACAGATGGACAGTACGATGGAGGGTTTCTGATCCAAATGTCACTGATCTCCTGATTTTCAGCCTCGAGACACGTGGTTGGGGGGTGCACGTGTGCGGGTGAGGAGAAAGGGGAGGGGTGGGGGACCAGGAAGAGGGGCTAGAGTTATCCCCCCAGCCAGAAACACCCGGCCATTGCTGAACGAAGGTCCCAGTGGCCGAAATCGTCAGTGCGGGAGTCAGCTTCCTTAGTGATGTTCCTGCTTCACCGCAGCTCGGATCGGCATGCCGGCCCTCGTCCCGGATGCAGTAGCTTGAACCGGTGCTGACAATTACAAGGAGCTAAGAGAGAGAGACAGACAGAGAGAGAGAGAGAGAGAGAGAGAGAACAAATGAAATGCGGCATCATTCCCAAAGGAACAGGGTCTCTCGATAACCCACGGCCCTTGGGCATTCATACAGAAATGAAGAGACACATGGCACAAGAGAACAGGGGCAGGGAAACCCCAGCCCCTCCCCCGCACCACCACCCCCACCCACCTACTGTGACACTCAAAAAACAAAGTTTGAAAAAGGCAAAACACGATGACCCTCTTGTTTTTTTGTTCAGATGCAAAAAAAACATGACAGGGCAGCACTTTGAAGTGGGAAGATAAACAGAGCCGAAGGTGGCGTGTACTGAGAAAAACATTTCCATTTCAAAAGCAGCGTTTGTCTGGGAATAAAGGGAGGTCTGTTCGCGAAGATGAACAACACGGCGCTAGTTAAAAATACTGAAGATAAAAAAAACACAACAGGACAGCACAAAGCACTCTTTGGCAACCGGGCTGACAGGGCCAACAGATTCTAGATGACAGACTTTAATCGGGACTCTTTTATATGCTTTTAAACATGGGTGGGGGGTAAGCTCGGGTAATAGAATATGGTACAAGTCCATTGGAATTACGAGAATTATGTGTGTGTATGATACAGAGAGTAACGGGCTGTTAATCCTGCGTAGGGGAGGCTCTGGTGAACGACGCACTGCAACCAAATTCCAAAATGGCGCCAAGGAACCCGTGATTTTCTATGCGACGAAGAAAGAAACCATGCGGCCCGAAGTGAAAGCAGCACATCGGATCAGGAAGGATGCAAATCCGCAAAGGATTCTCTCAGACAGGAACCCGTTAAAACATGACAGGCCTGCTAAGGAAAGCTTACACAAAAATCTGAGAACGGTACCAATCATGGAAGAGATTTTTACGAAGGATCAAAACACTTTCGATCGCATGCTCAGAGAATGTCTGACTGCACATACTGTGAAGTCTTAACACTGCATGCAGACTTTAAGGCCTGTTTTTCCAGCACTTGTGAATATATTATTATTAACTCTGCGTGGAACAGTGCACCACCTGGGTGTGCACACTCTGCTGGTCACTGAACCAGCATAAGAGGATCACTGTCCTTAGCAATGGACTGAATTCTGCACACTTGTGTTGGTCACAGGAAAAGTAACAACCGGACAATGTATTACAGCAGCACTTTCTCCCCAGAACCGCCAGTTGGCCTTATGGTCCTAATTGGGGAAGAAATCCCAGAGTATGGTGCATGTGATTGTCTAAATTTATCTCCACACTACATCCTTTACTTCTAATTTTAACATGACCCCACTGCCTCATAATGAGGATCACACTGCAGACGTCTTAGTGGGAATTCCATGTCTCTGACATGGGCTCCAGTACGTCAGTGAACTGGCCACGCCAAACCCTGCAGCTGCTCCCAAGTACAGTGGAGCCCCCACCTTCCCTGACAAAGAGAAAATATACAGTACCGTGCAAAAATGTTGGGGTGCTGAAGAAAGTTATGCTTAAATTACCCTGATGTTGATGTAAACCTACGATTTTATGTCTGTCAAAGTATGTTGGCTTAGACATTTGGAGACCCCCCCCAAAAGTCACCCCAGTATTTGCAGTAACCATCCAATACACCCATGGACTCGAACACAAGCACATTATGTTTAGCTAAGCAGTACCTCATCAAGTTAATTAAAGTGAGCCGGTGGTGAAATTTAGTGAATACATGGTATTGCTGTGGTGCCCCAGAGGAGGTCTGGGAACTGAAGCAGTGTCACCCAACAAGATTTCAGTAACATTTTGGAGAAAATTTCTTAGTTTTTATTGTCAATGTTTATTGATATACTGTGTTTCTGAATAAGTATACACTTACTACCCAAATAAGATTAGCTTTAAACATTTTCTTTGACTTTTGCACAGTACTGAATTCTCACACAGACACACACACAGGTTTGTAAGTATATCTTTGCGGGGACTGTCCATTCATTCCTATGGGGGAAATGCTAATCCCACCATGATGACCCTAACCCCTACCCAGCCCTATCCCTAACCATAAGTAACCAGACAAATTACAAGTCTTTCAGCATTTTTACTTTTTTCACAGATCTTTCTGCAGATCTGAAAAATGGTCCCCACAATGTCAAAATAACAGGTTTTCATTACATTGTGGGGAATTCTAAAAATAATTCCCCCCCCCCCACACACACACAAATACAAACTTAAATATTAGCATAATTACATTGTTTTGGTAACAATTCCACCTAAATAATTTAATTGATTAAGATTTAAACTACAAGCAGTAGAATTATATTATAGATTATACTGCTTTCTGTTCAATAAATGCATTTAATAAACACAGAGACCATAAATTGAAGTCAGAAAACTTTTTTAAAAATCTGAGTGAACATCTAATTAGGTTCAGCATCAATTTACAATTAAAATGTAGTAACAGATAGCAAAGCACTCGTCTCGGAACCTTAAATTGAAAGCAAATTGGGCAAAATAAATACTGCCCTAAATCTGCCAATATTAAATTGGCATCACTGTTGATGACATTTCTAGAAGTTACCACAAAGTCAGAACCAGAGTCAGAGGGGGGCACCCTCCCGTCTCACCATCATCTCCATCGTCTTGGAGGGTGTGAGAGAGAGAGAGAGAGAGAGAGAGAGAGCATTTCTTGGGAAAAGCATGTCATGTTACCCTAGATACCCTGCAAAGTGTGGTCACACAGGTGCACAGAGCATTAAAGAGAGAGGCTAGAGAGACAGACACGAGAGAGAGAGACAGAGACACAAAGAGAGACATGAGAGAGAGAGAGAGAGAGAGAGAGACAGACAGACAAACAGAGAGAGAGAGAGACACCCCCACGAGTCAAAGGCACGGCTCAGTGTCGCAAAGCAGCATTCCACGAAGAAGCGGGATTTCATCCAAATCAAACAGACAAAGTGCCAGAGGAAGCATCTAGGTTATTTCACAGTGAGAGCCCCCCCGTCCCATTCATTTTCAGAACAATGTGATTATTACATAAAAAATGCTTGAATCAAAGTCCTAATTTTTTTTTAAAAAGAGGAAAACATTCAACTGGCGTGCAGCATTGAATGGAAAGCAAAACTTTTTTTGGTTGTTGTTCAGTTGTGTTTGGGAATTGACTTATTTGCCAGACTTGAATATCTGCCACTTTTTTCTATGCAGAGCCAGAAAGGACAAGAAAAAGAGGGAATTAGAGTCAGGAAGACAGATGTGAGGGAACAGACCCTTATTTAGAGGCATAACTACTGTAACCATCTCATGTTACGGGACCGTGAAACAAAACAGCAACAAAATCTTAACATATATCGTTATATATATAGCGTTAATAAACATTTTTCTGAATCTGAAGAGAGCTTTGATAAGGCTGCAGCAGTCCACTGGGAAGGTTCCACTATCCATTTCACTTTAGTACAGCCGGTCTCAGCGGTACCGATGCTGTCAGATGGACGGAACGCTCCCATTTCAAAGCGCCCCCACGCCGTTCACCAGACAGGCCCCTGAACACAGAACTCCACAGACGGGGTTTATACAGAACATGTGGGCCTCAAACAAGGATGTCCATTTAAAACCAACAGGCCTGGCTGTCAGAAAAGAAAAGACAAACAAACAAGAAACCCACTGCAATGCCATTCTGTTATCTGCTAAGCCCATGGAAACACCAAGGTAATAACTCGCATTTAATTGAGAGGCTGAATGACTCCACGCTACATTCATGTTTGATGTAAGAAACTGGAAATAACTTCACAAACAAATACAGAGTTAAGAGTTTTCTCTAAGAGTCGCTCTGCTCTATAGATTCCCATGAATTTTAAAGATATCATCCTGTGGATTAAAAACATTATTTTTTTTGTAACACATATTGGTTTCAAAAAAGGACATTAAACGCCCATTGGGGTGGACCAATGTAACTGCATCCTTCCGTAAACAGTCGCCAGTCTGAGGAAGTTCCGTAACCTTAGGAACGCACCATCAGCATCTGGTGTTAATATGGTGTGGGGGGGGGGCAGAAAGGAGGATCGATGAGGGGGATAATTTCACAGCGTGGCAGTTAAACGGGATGCCGGGCAGAGAGACTCCTTTCACATGCCGAGTGGCTCTGATGGAGACAACGGACAGGCAGAAAGAGGAAGAGTGCAGATGGAGAGGCTGACTGTAGCACGTGCTCATTATGAAAGGTTTGCAGGAAAGGGCCTTTTTATTCTTATTTGTATTAATATAGATATATATATATATTTTTTTTTTACAAAAGCAGTGGTTTTAAAAATACACAGAGACACACGAGCTGTGCTTATAAATGATCAGTAGGAACTGAGCAGGGGACAGAAGATCCCTCACACACACAGGCGAGGAAAGGCCTAACAAGTACACTCCGTACTGCCAAGGCACCTAGGAGGACAAATATTTATGTAAAGGGGGGGGGGAAGAAAAAAATCCATCTCATCTGAAGGAGAGTGCCATGACGAGAAGAAACAGAGCAGCCTCTCTTCCAAGAGAGAGAGAGAGAGAGTGAGAGAGAGAGGGAGGGAAGGAGGTGAACGTGGATAGAAAATGAATTCGCAGACCAAATATTCTGGAGCAGTCAGGTATTGAATACACAAAGTCTGAAAGATATAGCGGCTTTGTGGTCTGTGCAGAAAGCTTAGATAAACACCCCCCACACACACACCCACACCCACACACCAGGCACATGTTTTCATTTGACTCTACAGGGTGTGGGTGCCTGAAAGTTTAGGGGTCACCAGGGAACATTCCAGAATCATGAATTATTTCTGTGATATTTCCTGTAGAATATCACCAGCAAATCGCAAAGCTATACATATGGCATTGGTCTTCTCTCACGTACACACCTTGGGCGTGGTTTTGCGGGTTAGTCTTCACCTGCTCATATACGCTTGCACATTTCGGACCAATGACCGTGAAGGCTAGGCAGCACCCAGCAGACATCACCGGCATGCGCAAATGGACAATTAGAGAAGAATCACACGTTTATTCTTATTTTAGCTTTGCATAATGGGATTTCAGGGCCATCAGCCATTTGTCTACTTTCCTCCACTGCTTAATGTTGCTTAACAGTGAAATCACTCGAATGTTGTTTACTTGTGAATGCAATACACTCATACATAAATTATTATACTTATTGTTGAGTAAGAATTCATTATGAGAGACACTTGAGGGTGAAAGATTGAAAAGCAGCATTATCCTGATTTAAATCGGAATCGTGTCCTGCTTTCAGAGTAAACAATTTAAACGCTCGAGTTCTGTTTCAGTCGGCGTTACACATCGTATACACACATATCTAATGGGGGCTATTTAAAGACACCGGTTCCACATTAAATGAAACAATTATACTAGCAAATTGGCAAAATTGTGATTTTGTCTGCACTAACTACTTGGCAAGTACCTCAGGAACGTACGCAGTGCCTTTGATTGACAGGTGCTTATTGGCGCCTAAGAAAGGGGACACAACAGAGACGAAGCTGACAGGAAGCAGCGCATCCAAGCTGCAAGTTCAGCATCTCACACCGTCTGGCCCCTCCCCCACGGCGCCGTTCCCGGTCGCCACACAACGTCAGACATCGCCAGCTATTGCCTGTCCATGCATGACCCATTGGTTAGGCCCTGTGGGAACACCCGACAGACTGTGGGGGGGGGGGATTCAGACCGGATAAGAGTAAGACGTAATTTTCGCACCAATATACACGTCTCGTATCTGTCACAAAAGAACCGTAGTGAGCCAGCAGTGAACCATCCAAACAATCATAGGAAAAAAAAAAATAGCTTTTCCATGACAACTGCTTCCCTACAGCTGAACAATTCTGTCAATACGCAAATGGGAGCGTATAGGCTGTCCCCATCCCAGACCTGGGGGGGCACACATGCACTAGGCAGGGGTGTATTTTAGTAAGTGTGGCGCAGGAATGGTGGCACAGTGGGTACTACCACCTCATGCCTCCAGGGGTGGGGGGTTTGAATCCTGCGGCTGCTGTGGGTGCAGACTTTGAATGTTCTCCCCGAGTTGTGTGCCTTTCTTCTGGGTGCACTGGTTAGCAGGCAGGCTAATTGGTAGCTCTGTGGGGTATGACCTCGTGTATGCATACTCTGGTAGACCGGCATCCCATCCCATCTTTTGCCCAGTACTGGCTGGCATAGACTCCAGTTCCCCTATGATCCTGACCAAGATAAGCTTTTGGATGGATCATAAAACACAGCCGGCTTATGCCCCTGTGATCACAAAGTACTGAGATACCCACAATATGGATCCATGGATGAATAGAAGTACTGATGAATATGGGTAATTTAAAAATCCTTTAGTTTCTGGTCAAAGTGTCTGTTTTGATTTCATTGATATTTACTTTCTTTCTGAGGCCACAACACGCTGAGAATCGGCTCAAATGGCACGCAAACTGACCAGCAACTGCCTTCCGCTCTCAATCGTAGAACAGACAGATAATTCTGGTCGGCGTAAATGCGGTCCGTGGTTGCTCTGAACACCCCATAGATCCTGGGCAGGTCCGAATGTTTGGGGCCCAGAGACTGAGAATGTTCAGGGCCAGCAGACTGCAACATCTGCTTAAAAAACCAACATTCATTCCTATGTCCGCCACACATCCCCCCCTCCCCCCCCAATAGATGACAAACCAACCTCTCATACTGGACTGTGTAGTCAAAATAATGACAGATGAGCCTTCACACGCCGAAAAGCTTTCTGACGTTCACATCTCTGGGGCAAACTTCGGTGCGAAGCAGAGTATCCGTTACTCAGAATCCGCCGGCGGGCGAAGGAGGAAGACGTCTCGAGGCGAAATCCGGAATGATGTATCGGGCTGTCTCACCAGGCGGAGAGATGCGGCGGCGGGCGGCCGAATACATTACCGCTCGCTCCACGGCCGTCTGCGGCACGACACGAGCATTTTCGCCAAACTTTCAAAACAGCTTCCCGCACAACCTCTAGCCCTAATTCTTCAAGTCACTGCAGGCATTTCACGGAATTAAATTGCGGCTTCCTGCCACAGATCCCGGGCCTCATGCACATTGTGTCATCACACC